TTCATTATTTTGTAAAGGTATAAATATTATTAAAATTGTTAGCTGAGAGTTTAAGAATGCTTGGTTAATATAATGAAGCAATCATTTGGGTAGATAAAGCATTGTAAGTAGATCCAAAGCATTGTCTTTCATTTTTTACTAAAGGTATAATGATATTGTAATTTATTAGCTGAGAGTTTAAAGATGCTTGGTCAATATAATGAAGCAATCGTTTGGGCGGATAAAGCATTGTAAGTAGATTCAAAGCATTGTCTTTTATTATATACGAAAGGTATGATGTTTTATAATTTGAAGGTGATTCATTAAATACAATTTGACTTTTAATGATTAAGAAAATCAAAAATTATAAAGAAGCTATAGAAATGATTGAGTACTCTCTATAAATCAATCCAAATCATTTTGATTCATTAAAAACAAAAGGTCCACCCAATTTTATATTTATAGGGTAGTATTTATAAGATCAGAATCAATTGGAAGAAGCCATAATATTTTATGACAAAGCTTTAACTATTCAATCGAATCACTAATTTATTAAAATTAAAAAAAGTATTTTATTTCTAATAATCAGATTAATGTTTAAAAGCCTTAGAAACTAAAAGAACAACATATAAAATAACATTATATTTTTAAATGAGCTATTGCACTTTTATGTTCTTTTTTTCTAATAAATTTATTATTTTATTATAAACTTTAAATTTAGATAATGTTCAAAATCCCAAAAAACTCAATGTAATATTTAACAATTTAAGGTGCTAAAGATTTTTATAGACAAATAATAATCAAATATCTTAGAAAAATCAAGTAAGCCGATCTACTTACTTTACCAAATTTCTAAAATTAAATCAAAAGGCTATAATAATACAAATAGTAATATATATTATATAATACTATTATCTTCTTTGTTCAGACAAGCATTATTGAGACATTTAATCATTTCAAGGTTGGTGCAATGAATTTTTGATGATAAATTAATAATCTACCAGAATAGCTAGCTCCTTATGAGCATTTCAAGGATTCAATTTAAATTAGGATATGCTAAAACAAAGCAATTAAAGAGTCAAAATCATCTTGGGATAAAAAATATATACATTAATTCAGATACTACTTTAAATATGGTCATTAAGAAGTTAAGATAATAAAGATTCAAGTTTTAAGTGTGTACTCTTAAATTTTAACGACAATTTTAAGTAATTTATAATAATAATTTGAACTATGATTTGTAGTTGCTCAATAATCTTAAAAATTCAGAGATCTCAAACTAAATATCCACATGTCTTATTATCTAAGCAAATGGCAATTTTGAACATTGTGGATCTGCTCGACCCATTTCAATTTTTCTTGTACATTTTCAAATACTTACAGGAATTACAGAAAATTTAGCTATTAATATCTTAAATAATTGGAGTAAAAGTTTCTTAGAACGTTTTGAGTTATTTTAGCTATGAAATTTTAACATTTATTATTTGTTGAAGGATCAAATTATTTTAATTTGACAAGTAGGTCAGCCTAAAAAAAATAAAACATACCAAGGATACTCTGAGACAAGTCTTCTTTTTACTTTGCTAGAAAAAATCAGATCTACTTTGCATCTAAAATTTGGATGATTTCTTATTTAGCTATTGCGATTTCAAAAAGTCAAATGTTCATTATACAAATCTGATTGGTATATCTATTGTTGAACAAAACCCAAATGTATTTTTTGTACGAGAAAACAAGTACTATACAGATCCATTCAAACTTCTTAGAACTAATCATTAGAAAAATGATTATTTTAGATTAGGATTAATTATTTATATTTTTAACTTAATTTTTAAATTAGTTTCATTCATCTTAGTTTCTCAGTTATTTTTTTCATAACAGTTATACTCATTTTATCAAGAAACATTCAAAAAATACTTTGAACAATCAATTCTGCTACAAAAGATTAATATGAGGAATAGAGGATATAAATATTTTGAGAATAGCCATCAATTGTTTGTAATTTTGGATACTTGAATCGATTTTGCAAGAAAATGAGATATTTAGGAACAATATCAAAATTAGAAGACATAACTTAAAGGAATCTCTTAATTTGCTTGATGCGATTGGAAACAGAAAATCAAAAATACAATTTAAGAGTGGGAATGAAAAATGAAAAATAATTACATTGTTAAGTTTTCTCTCAATCATTTATAATTCAAGCATAGAGAATCTTGAAATATGATATTACATTCTAAACTGGACATATCAAAATATTTGATCTTCAAATTGAAACATCATTTTAATTGCACTCAAAGAAGGTATTATTAATATGATTTCACAATAAGTACGAATTTTATCCTTATTTGCTAGGGGTATGTAATTTTCTTTGGTTCTATATCCTCATAAAGATGAATATTAGGATAAATTAAAATTAAAGTAGTTCATTTGAGAATTGATAATTTCCTTCATCGTTAAAAAATTTGAAAATTGAGATAAAGTAGATGTAATTGAAATAAAATAAATAAGAAGATTATCAACAAAACAACTTGACATTGAATGCATGTAATACTTGAGAGGAGTAGTTATACTTGAAGAACTTATCTATATATTAAAATTATTTTATTCAAAAAAAAGTAAATTTTTTGGTTGAAAAGGATGAGTCATGATGCATAAATGGCCTTATGAACAAATCCCTATTTGTTGAGATATTTTAAGTTTAATATTTTTGATATATGAGTCATCATTAACACTCTGGAAGCGTATTTCTTAGTGTTATGCATAGCAATTATTTTAACACATTATATTTTATTGAAACATTTATTATAGAACGAATTATTGTTAATATTTCAATTAAAAAAATTCCAATGATTAATGAGTATGAGCGTATTAAATTTATTTTTCCTCGGTATGAAAAATTTATCATAATGGTATAATGACAAATAAAATTAGGACTTTAATACAAAAATAGCTTTAGAGGATGTAAAATTCACATTCGTAAATGTATTGAAAGTTGACCTTTTTGCTCGAAAACTAGTATTTTTAATAACTAAAGGTCTCATCTAAACTGAGTTGGATTCTCAAAAAAGTCTCTAAGGATAGACAGTTATCAACAAATTGAAATAGGAAAAATCGCAAATTGAAATTGTTGTTAAATTTTTAGAGGATGGTGCATGATGATATGATCATAATCATATAAATTATAATTCTTGAGTTTATTCACCAATGCAAGTATCATAATCAGAATATTCAAAAAAATTTATATTTTTTTTTTTAATTTTTTCTAACATAAAATTTGAATTAACTTGTCAATTTTTAAATTTTATGTTTCTACATGTGATTAGTATCCATTTTTTGAATGTTATAGAAGTAGATCAATTCATCTATATCATTTTTTTTCGTATCGTTTCTGGAATACAATTTCCTAGCCTAAGCTTTATGTTATAATGGTTGGCAACTTTTTGCAANTTTAGGAACAATATCAAAATTAGAAGACATAACTTAAAGGAATCTCTTAATTTGCTTGATGCGATTGGAAACAGAAAATCAAAAATACAATTTAAGAGTGGGAATGAAAAATGAAAAATAATTACATTGTTAAGTTTTCTCTCAATCATTTATAATTCAAGCATAGAGAATCTTGAAATATGATATTACATTCTAAACTGGACATATCAAAATATTTGATCTTCAAATTGAAACATCATTTTAATTGCACTCAAAGAAGGTATTATTAATATGATTTCACAATAAGTACGAATTTTATCCTTATTTGCTAGGGGTATGTAATTTTCTTTGGTTCTATATCCTCATAAAGATGAATATTAGGATAAATTAAAATTAAAGTAGTTCATTTGAGAATTGATAATTTCCTTCATCGTTAAAAAATTTGAAAATTGAGATAAAGTAGATGTAATTGAAATAAAATAAATAAGAAGATTATCAACAAAACAACTTGACATTGAATGCATGTAATACTTGAGAGGAGTAGTTATACTTGAAGAACTTATCTATATATTAAAATTATTTTATTCAAAAAAAAGTAAATTTTTTGGTTGAAAAGGATGAGTCATGATGCATAAATGGCCTTATGAACAAATCCCTATTTGTTGAGATATTTTAAGTTTAATATTTTTGATATATGAGTCATCATTAACACTCTGGAAGCGTATTTCTTAGTGTTATGCATAGCAATTATTTTAACACATTATATTTTATTGAAACATTTATTATAGAACGAATTATTGTTAATATTTCAATTAAAAAAATTCCAATGATTAATGAGTATGAGCGTATTAAATTTATTTTTCCTCGGTATGAAAAATTTATCATAATGGTATAATGACAAATAAAATTAGGACTTTAATACAAAAATAGCTTTAGAGGATGTAAAATTCACATTCGTAAATGTATTGAAAGTTGACCTTTTTGCTCGAAAACTAGTATTTTTAATAACTAAAGGTCTCATCTAAACTGAGTTGGATTCTCAAAAAAGTCTCTAAGGATAGACAGTTATCAACAAATTGAAATAGGAAAAATCGCAAATTGAAATTGTTGTTAAATTTTTAGAGGATGGTGCATGATGATATGATCATAATCATATAAATTATAATTCTTGAGTTTATTCACCAATGCAAGTATCATAATCAGAATATTCAAAAAAATTTATATTTTTTTTTTTAATTTTTTCTAACATAAAATTTGAATTAACTTGTCAATTTTTAAATTTTATGTTTCTACATGTGATTAGTATCCATTTTTTGAATGTTATAGAAGTAGATCAATTCATCTATATCATTTTTTTTCGTATCGTTTCTGGAATACAATTTCCTAGCCTAAGCTTTATGTTATAATGGTTGGCAACTTTTTGCAAGAATAGATTGAAAGTAATTTAAACAATGTATTTTTTTATTGCTATGCATTCTCAAATTCCCTGTATGTTTTTAAAACTATAATCATTAAATTAAAAGCTCCAAAATATATTAAATTAATTTAGGGAAAAAAATTTAAGTTCAATGAATTAATATGGTTAATGGGATTGAAAGGATTAATCAAGGGTAGAGAGGTACATGATAAATTCACTCATAGCTAAATTTTTGAAATTCAAGATTTAAATTTTTGAGTAGATAAATATTTGAGATATTATAAACAACAAAGTTTCTATGAATATAATTTAGAAATATTAATATATGGTGAGAGAAACACTCCAAGTAATTAACATAATTAGATTGAGTTTTTTGAATTTGTTTTAAAATTTATTAAAATTGTAAATGAAAAATTGGATTCCTTTTGAAGATTGAAATAACCAAGATCAGATATCATTTTTTAATTTTCAGATAAAAATGAAGATATTGGGTGAAAATGAACAAGTGAATACCCTGAATTAAACTTTAACATGATATAAGATCCATTTAACACAAAGTCTTAATAATCTGACTAATGGACTGAATAAATAAAGAAAATCCAAGAATTTCTGTATTATCACAGAGAACAATTTTAATGTAAATTAAATTGAATATCGAAATACAGAGAGAAGTTAAGAATAAGTAGATATTACACTTCAATAAAGTTTAAAGAATTTGCTGAATATCCCAACGTGAATTTAATTTGAAGTAACTAGAATTATATTAATCCCTAAATATTGGCGATTGAAGTATTTCTGAATGTATTCTTTTTTATAAATACCAGACCTCTAAATGATTTGAATTGGTACTCATCATCCTAATGTGATGCTCATTATTTTGACAATTAAATAAGTAAACAATATGTACAATTATTAGTTAATTTTTAAAATCATAAGAATTTATGAGTTAGAACTTCATTTTCTTTGATGAATAGACCTCCAGTCGAAGTCAACTTATTCATCACTATTATTTCTTCTCTCCAAACTGACTTGTATTTTCTAAGCTCTTTCAATCTTTTCAATCCTCTAGAAGAACAAGTAAAAATTCTTTTTATTAATTCAATCCTCCAATTTACCTATATCAAGAATTAAGCCTTAATTTTTACCTCATAGGGCTTCCTTAATTGATCAATTGATTCTCTCAGCAAGCTTTCCAGGATTAGAATCTCATTTAGAAATTTTCAAATAATTTTGACAAAAAAATTTAAATTTAGTTTTATTGTGCTATGATTAATTAGTCTTATAAATATCAAAATATGTTAAACTTGATTTTGGTTATCTAATATTTAATTAGATTTCATGAATCTTATTTGTTAAATATATTCTTCTGTTCCCTAAATGTAATATGATGATTAATAAACAGGGGCGTCATCAATCTGTTTAATCCTTCATTTCTTGTATTGATTTCTATCACTTATTAAATTTATAAAGCTTGAATTATTGATCTTTTGAATCCATTCTAACATCTAAAATTTGTTGATTTCGGTTTCTTTTGAACTTAAATTAGTTTGAAAACAATTAACTTTGCGTAGATAATGCATAATTGAAGAGAAATTTAGTTCGTACTCCTTACTACAAGAGAAACCTAATGATCTTCTATTTTTGGATTCAAATTTGAGACTACAAATGACATTACTTACGAGAAGTGTAATAATATGCAAATATTGCAGTCTGAGAAATTTACTATGTGTGCTGAAAAATCTTCTTGAAACTGATTATTAGTATTTAAATTCTTTTGCTAGTAGGCTCTTAGGAGATAAGATATAAAGTAAATCAAATAGCGACATCAATCTACAAACTTGCTATAATAATGAAATACATAGTTGCCTTTTAAATAATTGGAAAACACCTTGTAGGTGTGTTGTCATTTTTGAAGCATTGACTGTACAGTTCATGCAGCCAGGATTAAAATAAAAAGATTCTGTACAAGAATGAAAACTTCGGATCAAGGAAAGTATTTAACTTAAAATACAAAGATTTCAACTGGCAACTAGGCAAAAAACACGAATAACAATAAGATTAAATTTATTAAATCCAGATTAATAAGTTTAGAGTTTACCCTAAACTCAATAATATAATAAAAATAAATATCTAATTGGATAGCTACATATTTCTACATTAGTTGTTAAATGTGCATGATGATAATAAGTTCTGGCAAAAATAAGAAACTAAGCTATTACAATATTTTATTTCATACCTGGTAAATAAATGTATCTATTTTTTTCTATTATTTCATCATTTATTTATTGAATCTAAAGTGTTATTGTTGAGCAATTCCGAAATATTGTCAAATACAAATCAGAAATTTCACTACCAGAGTTGTAACAACATCATTATCATAAATGAATTCTGCCTGAATAATCTCCTCTTATATAGAACCTTAGCTAAGTTTTAGTATGCACTTAACCATCTTAATGATATTTTTAGTCCTAAGTATTTAGAATTTACTCACAATCCAATTTACAGAGGATTTGATGATAATATTAGCTACATCATATGCATGAGCAAAGTCTTTTGGTATAATAGGTTGTGAATTTACTTGATTAACATGTTTTTAGCAAACCTAGAAAGCTTCCCTTTATTATACTTCAAAGTTCATCCATTAACTAATTGAATTTAATATTGAATATGAAAGAGTTTGAAAAAAACCAAAGCAAACATCATTGAAAATAATATATATTTCTTATTCTGAGGATTGGTTTAACTATTTCTAACATCTATTTGATAGAACTAGGATGAAACTCTTGAGAGTTATGTTCAAGAATTAAGGCTCCTATATCCAAAAGCCAGCCGAATTATAAAGCTGACTTGTAGAGCCTTAATTCCTTTGTTGCAAATTTCTTAATTTTTCTATAGAATGGAGGTTAAATGAATTAATAACGAAATTAGATATTCTCCTTGAGGATGGCTTGTTCCTTGTAAGAGGCCTATTCAAATCAAAAATTATTCTCACTCATTTCTTAAAACGTCTAAAGTATTTTGAGTCAAGATAATTATATCAATAGAACTATGTTTAAGGGTACTATCTTTAAATTATTTTTAAGATTCTTGTAGTATCTAAAATTAGAAGTTTACATAGATATAATTTTTTCCTATCATTGTAAATCTTCGTTTGGTAGCTTTCTTAACTTTATAATAGATCCTTATTTAATGCTAGTGTAATTAGGTTCAACTACAATTTTAATTACATCCTTAGTTTTGATATGATACTCTTTATTAGGAATTATTTCTAAATACTAGTTAACTATTGAAAAGCATTTATTGAAAGGAGTAAGCAGCCTTACCTTCTAAAATTGAAATGGAATAAAATTAGATAAAATCCATAAAATTTTGAACCATCAAGTTGTTCGTAGTCTCTAGATTTTCCGTTCTGGTGGGAAGGGGCGTTTAATTAAAATCAATAGTGAGCCATCCTCTCAAAGACTTAGTTTTATTTACCTTATACAAAATTCCTTAAGCCATTATAAAAAGGAAGTTTCTATGATTCTTGTATTATTTTTTAGTGTATCCCTAAAAGTTAAACCACAGATTATTCATAGGGTTCGAAAAAGCTTTTAAAAATTGTTTCAATTTGATTTTATTATACTGCTAAGTTTTATCTTCTGCATAAGCTTAGTTATCAAGAGCCAAATTGTGAAGATCTCTCTAGAATTTGGAAAGGTAGCCTTTATTATGGAAAAATTAGGCTTGTAAAATGAGAAGTTAATAGAACTTTTTACAAATATTTTTGTAAAATATAGCTTAAATTTGAAATCCTAATAGAAGCCATACTTAATGTCGAATCATACATGAAAAAAGGATTTTTAAAGTACTTCGGCCAGCTTTTCATTAGCTAAATGATGTTTCACCTTTTTATATTGATTACTTTTTAAAAAAGATCTTTTTAATATAGATCAATAAGTTAAAATAATATATTTTAGTATGCATATTAGATTGGATTGTAATAAAGTTAAAAATGGAAAAACTTGATTTAGTAACTGGACTTTTTAATATAAATTAGCTCATATATTAATCTATTAAACAATATTTTAAAAATTAATTGTTTCGATAAATATTTGAATATTTTTTCATAACTTAGATTGTTTTAGTAAAGGAAATTCAATACACAATTATATATCAATATTATAAGTCTGAGATTCAAACAAACTAACTTTGAAAATAATCTGTTTTGGTCAAAATTATTTTGAAGTGAGATTAACTTGTCGTACTTTAAGAAGATTAAAAAAAATAATTGTTAGTTATTTTAATCTACAAGTAGAGAATCAGCTAAAAATAAATAATTTAATATTTGTGTACCTTTTTGTTTTAATCTTAGAGAAGTAATGCTCATGGATAGAGATTAATAATAAAAGATGATGATATCCTTATATTTCTTTAACGTATGTAATAACAAATTTTTGTAACTGAAATTAGTGTGAAGCCTTAATTATAAATTAATTTACCTTTACTACTCCAAGCAGCTTCTTTATTTAGATTAATGGAAATAGCTTTGTCATAGCATTCTATTGCTTCTTAACATTTATTGAGAACTGTTGATTACCCTTATTACACCAAGCAGAATCTTTATTTGGATTTATGGAAAGAGCTTTGTCGTAGCATTCTATTGCTTTATAATATTTATTTAAATTCTTACAACACTAGAGCTATTTAAATGAATAGATAAAGCCACTCTTAAGATCAACTAATTTTTCAGGCTCTTATATATTCAACTACTTTTGAGATTCAGTTTCCAAATCAACTTCTACTATTTTAATAATATTTTAACCAGAATTCAATTAATCATGCTTTTGAGTTTATTCTGATACTAAATTCTTAATTGTGTTATGAATAAATATAGCTTACATTTGTAACTTTCCTTTTCCTTAGAGTAAAACTGTTTGAGCTATTGTATTTTTGACTTAAAAGTTATATAGCCTTTATTTAAAAGTTATTGGGTCATGTCTTCTAATAATTTAATTTCTTGGCCCATTTTTTTTAAATTTTATTCAAATAAATTTTCTAAACCTGCATTGATTCATTCATAGTTTAGATAATTTCTTTGAGGCGAATGCAATCATTAAAATGTTCTGAATGAGTTGTCTTTAAACATTTATACAATATTGAGATGTATTCTTACAATTCTGATTCAAACAAAATCCAATAATTTCTTCGTCCTGATGTTGTAGATATTTACATTTAAAGATATCCATTAAGGTCAAAAAGAGTAAAAATAATTTATTATTTTTTCTTTTTCACAACTATTTTCTAAATTTATATCCAAAATATTTTAAATTTTTGAAATCTATATTTAAGAATTTTTAAGGATGAGTATGCAATTATTAAACAAATTTTAAGTCCTATAATTTATATAATTAATCAACAATTATCACCTATAAACTAAATTTAAATCCTTTTTTTTCCTTTTGTTTCTAATTTTTAATTTGATTTTTGATAAGATTTTTGATGCAAATAATTTATAACAAGTCGAGCTAGATAAAATTGTAATAATGTCTGTTGTAAGAAAAAATTTTGACTTTTCACTTATTGTCTCATCAATTAAATTGTTTTTTAACATAATGAAACTCTTTGATTGAATTTACTCGCAATCACCTTTTTCCATTCTTGAAAATCCAAACCAAATATTATAATTATATTAAAATGATAAAGCCACCAAACGTGCAAATTTTGAGTTAAGTTACATTATATTTTTTCAAATATGCAAATCTTTACTAAAAAGTTGCTATTGTTTAAAAGACTTAAGTATTCTCTTTATTCTCTAAGATTAGGAGAGGCAAACCGTAGGTAAGAGGACGAAGAAAATGTTTATAGTTTAATAAAGGCTCAACTTGTGGGGGTTCTTTATGAAATTCTTTTACTCTTAATAGCTATATATTCTTGCAGAATATTGCTCTTAACTATTTTGGACAATAGAAAATTCAGATGATTATTGTATATAGTCATTATACGATTGGAGTAAGCAAAATCAAAATGAATTTTGCATTATTTATCAAAAATTATCTGTTTTGCATTTCTGCCAAGACATCTCTCAATTATGAACAATTTACATCTGAATAAATTAATTAATATTTTGTATTTATTTCATTAATTAAAAAATTTATTGTCTTTAATTTTAATGAAAATCCTTAAGGATTCAGAAAATGCCTATGATTACATTAATGCTTTTATCTAAATGAATTAATTTTCTATGTGTAATTTTAGCGTTACAAAAACACCCACATACCAAGCTAGATTCTCTTTTTATCCATTATAAACTTTTAGGAAAAATTATTCGTTATAATTATATTCTTGCTCCTTTTTATAATAAGCTCCCATTATTGAACAGTCAGTTAGTTGAAGTCTGAGATAATGATAATTTTTCTCGAGATTGAATATTAATTACGGGCTCTCGCATAATTCTTCTATAGTAATAGATGTCAAAATTTCGTTTAGGAATAAATATGTAGTTCATAAGAATGAAGGCAATGAAGAAGAATCTTAACTATTTTTTTAATAAGAAAAAATGAATAATTTGCAAATTTTCCAAATATTAAAATTCAAAATCAAATTTCTTTTATTAAATATTTATTTCTTATCTGCTTAATTTAATACGCTTCCTGTTCCTTATCTATACTTTCGATCCTATTTCGATGTTTTAATTAAAAATTTAAGTTTAAAACAACAGATGAATAATTATAAAATTCAACTTTAAGTTTTATTACCAAAGGATTATGGTAAGGATTTCGTATCATTCCATTCAAATTATTTCCCCAACCTAACTATTTTTATAAAATTATTATAGAATTTTATCTACTTTAGACTTTGATAATCCACAAAATATTAAATCCTCACTTTCATTGGCGTTTCTCTGAATGCCTTCTCAATAAGGAAACTTCTTTATATTGAAAACCTCCACATATCCAATTGTAAACTATTTGAAATTTAATCAAATAGAAGTAATCACAAAATACTTCTGTCTATTTTATCTTTGAATTAATGTTATTATAATTAAAAAAATGATTTTGTAATAACTCAAATTTCTTTCCTTTGAATTATCATTTATTATGTGAATCTATTTTCAAAACCTTTCTGATGTATTTTCAACATTTAAATATTACTGAACCTAATTTTTTTTACTTTAGCAAGTCAATAATGAATTCTTAGATTAATGTTGATTGTGAGATCAAAAAAATTATTTAACTGTGCGAATATCCCAATATCTTTTTTGAATATATTTATAATCCATTTCAATTCTTTTTAAATATGAGAGAATATTTAAAAATATAATACTTCAAGCAGTTAAATTAAGGTCTATCTATTATAGATTTTAGTACTCCGATGAAATTAGTTTGTTTTCAATAATAGCAATCAAATCAAGGTGCATCTAATAATAGAAATTATTGCCAATAAGGTGTGTGACTTATATTTGGTTCTTTCGTATCATGGTAGCCTCTTAGATATGTTTAAAGATTGTTATTAACAAATTTTTTTGATAATAGTTGTCTTACTTCATCTTGTGTTCCAAATATAACTGCTCTAATTTTAATATTGATTATATTATTCTATTTTAAGGAAAGTATACAAATATAAAGCCTAATTTCTAGAGCCATTTTAAAAAAGATAGAACTAATATATTAAAATAACTTTAAAGAATTTTTAATAAATAAGATGCGAACATAAATTTTATTATGATAATAATTATGGATCATAGTTCAAGAGGTTATTGTAATAAATTGAATATTGAATATTGAAAATATTTGATAGCTTATAAGTGATATACGAATAACGATATTCTTAGATTATAGTATCATTGATATTTCAAAAATAATTAAAAGAATAAATAAAAAATTAGTATTTCATAAATTATTATATTCATTAATCCCTTGATAGCAAATTAAAACGTTTATCTGATTTGATTTTTGAGATGTATACATCTTAAAAATTTTCAAATACACAAACATTTAGTTAGGAGGTTTTTCCTGTCTCTGATGCAATAAAGAATGAATGTCTTTAGTATAGATTTAGAGAATGTAAGCATACTTTAACAGGGCATGATTATCAAATTAATAGTACAAATAAAGATGATGTATTTGATTCTGATACTGGAAAATGAAAAGATTCTACAGGAACTGGATTTTATATCCGAATACAAATTCCTATCAGCCTGCATTTATTTTAAACAATTATTGACCCTTATCCTCGTTTGCCTATAATCCTCCACTTTTAAAAAATATTCCGAGATTATATTAAGAGGTCTGAAAAGAATGATGAGCATTTTCACATTTTTAAAACAAAACAAAAAGCCCATTAAGATGTTGGCCTTACCCAAAAATCCTTTTGGCTTATGTCGTTCTAACTATTCCTGTTCATTATCCTTATTTACATGAATTTGATTAGTTTCATATTGAATTTAGAAATTAATAGATTTATCAATTGCATACTCCTTTATATAAATTGCAGTATTTTTTACGAAAGTTAAGTACATCTTACCTTCTCTTTATCACTTCATATAATAGATAAGTCTATCATTAGAAGTTGGTAGTTGTAAAATTTATGATTGATTCGAAACCAAAGCACGACTCATTGTAAACACATGATTATTTCAAATGGAATTTTAATTAGCTCTATCTTAGACACTTTCACAAAACATCCAATCATAACAAAGTTATATTTTAAATGGGTTCTTTACTTTAATCATGTGTTTTCATAAATTTTCAATTAAAATTTTCAATTTCACAAATAATATCCTTAATTTTTAACTTCATTTACAAAGCCTTTTCGTATTATTCTTGAACCTCTACCAAATTGAATCATACAATTTTCGCTTTAATTATACAATTCAAATATTAGTATATGAACTAACTGATACTAGAACTTATCACAGATCTATCTGAATGCCTGTAATCTCAACTGGAGAAACAGTACATATTTCAATAAACATTGCACATTAAATATGTCCATTAGATGATAGACCTGCATTTATATGTAACGGGTAAATGAGCAAATTATGTACTTCAGTTCGAATTTAACCTATAATCCATATCTATTCGGATAAATTAAATTGTTAATAATTCTTACTTCTTTCAAAATTTTCTTGTATTTTTCAACTGATAAAATCATTTAAATCTCTGAAGGCTTTTGATGCAATTCTGAAAATTTTGTTTAGAATCTATTATGTATTTACTTGTTGTTCTTCTTTTGTGGATTTGTGTGTTCAATAAAGTAGTAGTAGACTTTGCTATTCTTAATTCCATCTCAAGAATTTCTATTTTAATTCTTCATCCCATTCAGCACAGTGTTCTAAATTTAATGATATTATGATGTAGACTTAAATTTAAGTATATATTTAGGGAGTCTTTGAGACTTATCTATTTGCAGTCGCCATCTAATTCTGATGTTCATTGTTTCTTATTCCCTTTGCAAATATGACTCTGCCTTTCTTGGCATCTAATACTGAATATTACATATTTTAGTCCTTTGCGGTTTTATTCTTGCCATAGTTTAATTATAAAAGGTTCTTTCTCATATTCTATTCTTATTCTTGTTTTTCCTAGTAATTAATTCAGACATATAATCGAGATTTGAATGGAATCTTTATGATGTTTTGTGTTAAGATTAGATCCAATTTTTTGAATGTACATTTTTGAATCTTTTCTGTAATATCATATTAAAATGTTCATAAAAGTTTTGATTAATTAAAAAATACAATTATTTATTTTACAAGGCATTTTTTTTTTAAATGAAGGTTTACTTCTTAAAAATAGAAGCCACATAACAACATTTTCACATCATCTCTACACTATGCAATATCTCTGACCCAAAGAGTTAGTAGCCTCTTTTAGTAGAGATTAGAATTTGAAAACCTCTT